TTCTGACTCATAGAGACCCCACAGGGTTTTCAAGGCTATAAATCTCTATGGAAGCAGATGCCACATCTTTCTCCCTTGGAGCCAGTGGTGGTTTCGAACAAGCGGCCTTTCAAAGCAGTCCCTCGATCGCTTTAATCACTGCACCACCAGAGCTCCTGTGGTATGGATACTGGGGCTATAAATATTCTATGTGTCAATCAAACAAAAGTCCCTGGGTGGCACAAATGATTACGCACTACACTACTAGCCAAAAGACTGGTGGTTCAAATCCACCCCAAGGCAGCTTGGAAGACAGGCCTGGCCTATGGAGCAGTTCTGCTCTGCACACGTGGGGTCTCGCGGTGAGTTGGAATTGACTGGACAGCAACTGACAACAACAGCAATAATCTAGCAAACATTTGGTAAACACATGGACACTTTTCTATTGGGTTTTGTGGCATTTACATTAACTTTACCCAAAGAGTTTGGCCTTTGTCCTTAAGTCCTGAGACATAATCTCTAAAAAAAAAAAAAAAAACCTTAGAATTTAAGTATCTTCGATAAGGACTTTAGACCACAGCTAACTAACAGGCTGGGTGAAGTGATAAGGTGAGTCTGCGGTGGGGGCTGGCCAGGCCAGAAAGACCCACTTCATGATCACCTCCTGATATCTACTGGCCTCAGGGAAGAGTGGCTGGAATTTGCCTTTTGTCATGAGACCTCCAATAAAAGCTCTGGACACTGAAGATCCATGCAGGTGAGATGGTAGCACACCCTTTGGGACATGGAAGCTCTGCATTGGAAACCCTCCCAGACCTTGCCCTTTTTGTCTCTTAATTTGGATCATTTTTGTTATAATAAAGCCGTAATTCTAAGTATAATGCTTTCCTTGAGTTCTGAGTCATTTCCTCTTGCAGCTGGAAATCTAAGGGGGTAGAGGGAAACCAAGGAGTCCTGCTAGTGCTGTGCTTAAGTCCTCAGTTTCTAACCAAAAGGTCAGCTGTTCGAACCCACCAGCCGCTCTACGTGGGTGAAAGATGTGGCAGTCTGCTCCTGTAAAGATTCCCCAAAAATTAAACCCACTGCTGTGAAGTTGATTCCGACTCATAGAGACCCTATAGGACAGAGTAGAACTGCTCCAAAGGGTTTCCCAGACTGTAAATCTTTACAGAAGTGGACTGTCACGTCTTTCTCCCATGAATCAGCTGCTGGGTTGGAACTGCTGAACTTTTTTGGTTAGTAGCTGAGTGTTTTGACCATTGCAGCCTTGTAAATCCTATGGGGCAGTACTACTCTGTCCTACAGGGTCTCTATGAGTCAGAATCAGCTCAACGGAGATGAGCTTCATCTTGGCTTGGGTTAGAGGAAAACCCCTGAATTTACAGTTAGTAGGTTAGAAGTGGGGAGTCCCGGAGGGACTCCGAGGCTTGTGCCTGGCATCCTGAAGGGCTAGAGGGAAGCCCAGAATTTATAGCCAGCAGATCAGAAGTGAGGGTGTTATGTAGACTCCCAAACTTGCAGCTGGTGTCTGCCTATTTGGCAGTCTGAAGGACAGTGTCCTTTTAACTTGTGAGATCTGACTATCTCTGGGTGGACAGGGACAGAGGAGGAAGTGCTGCATGGGGGGGCAGCTGATGTCAGAGCTGAACAAAGAACTAAAAAGGTGGATATTTGATTTAGCTTCACAGGTATATGCTCAGGAGTGGAATTGCTGGGCCATAGAGTATGTGAATGCTCTTCTTGAGTAAATACCACCAAATAGTTTTCCAAAGTGGTTGTACAGATTTACACGCCCACCCTTTATTTCTTTTAAAAATAGGTACTAAGACTTTTGTATCTGGAATCTGGTCAACTTCTCTGTTTTCTTTGCCTTCTCTTGAATTAATCCTGTTTGTGTTCTGCCCTGCTTTACTTACAAATATAATAAATTACATACTTGTTTCAAAGATTTATAAGAAAAAAATTAACCACTTAATTAATAAGAAAAATAGATAATAGTACTTTTGTACCAAGCAAAAAGGCTTGGCTGTTGTTGTTAGTTGCCAATGAGTCAGCTCTGACTCATGGGACCCTTATGTACAACAGAACAAAACCCTGCCCAGTCCTGTGCCATCTTCGTGATCATTGGTACGTCTGAGTCCATTGCTGTGGTTATTGTGTCGGTTCATCTCATTGAGGGTTTCCTTCATTTTCGCTGACTAGAGCTCTGCTTTAGCAAACACGATGTCCGTTTCTAGCACTTGGTCTTTTCTGATACTGTGTCCAGAGTAAGCAAGTCGAAGTCTTGCTATCCTTGCTTATAAGGAGTATGCTGGTTGTATTTCTTCTAAGACTGATTTGTTCTTTTGGCAGTTTACAGTACATTCAATATTCTTCGCCAGTGCCACAATTCAAATGCATCAGTTCTTCTTTCGTTTTTCATTGCCTAACTTTCTATGCTAAGCATGGTTAAAATGGCAAATTTTACGGTATATATTTTATGGCAACAGATTTTTTTTTTTAAAGCTAAGCACTTTACGTCCCTTAATTAGTAGCTCTATATCCCCAGGTAGTGTCGTATCACAATTTTATGGTGGGGGAACTGAGGCATAGCGTTATTAAGTGTCATGGATTGAATTGTGTCCCCCCAACAATGTGTGTATCAGTTTGGCTGGGCCATGATTCCTGGTATTGTGTGATTGTCCACCATTTTGTCATTTGATGTGATTTTCCTGTGTGTTGTAAATTCTGCCTCTATGATGTTAACGAGGGGGGATGGGCAGCAGTTGGGTTGATGATGCAAGACTCAATCTATGCAATTGGATTGTGTCTTGAGCCAGTTTCTTTTGGGATATAAAAGAGAGAGTGAGCAGAGAGACAGGGGGACCTCATTCCACCGAGAAAGCTGTGCCAGGAGCAGAGCGCGTCCTCTGGACGCAGAGTTCCTGCGTGGAGAGGCTCCAGAGCCCACAGAGAGGGCCTTCCCCTGGAGCTGATGCCCTGAATTTGGACTTCTAGCCTACTTTACTGTGAGGAAATAAATTTCTCTTTGTTGAAGCCGTCCACTTGTGGTATTTCTGTTATAGCAGCACTAGATAACTAAGACATTAAGTAACTTGCCCCTAGTCACTTAGCTAGGAAATGGTAGAGTTTTGAACCCAGACAGGCTGAGCCCATACTCTTAATTACTCTTGTCCACTGAATCTCTCTCCAACTTAATGCACTCTGGGTAAGTCACACTGGGGGAAAAAAAGACACAGCCCTGGTCTTAACAGAGATTAAGATCCACTCCAGGGTAATAGTCACATGAAAGGAAAACTAAGGCTGCCACACGAATTGAGCAGATGGAGAGGCTACATAAATTAGCATGTAGAGAGATTATTCACCATGGTTGGGGTGGGTACGGGGAAAGGCTTCATGGAACTGAAGACTATTCTAGAGAATCTTCCTGAATGGTCAGGCACCTGCCAGGCAGATGAGAGGGCAAAGTATCCTGACTAACTTTTATGTTAGACTGTTTCCCCACAAACTCCAAGAGCAAATGTTTCTTTTTCATTGACGAAAGCAACTACCAAGCCTCAACTGAAATCCTTATGGCATACTTTCATTGAATCAAGGTGAGGTTTAATTGCTTTCCTCCTCCTTGGTTTCAGGCTTACATCACCAAACATCGTGGAGAAGCAGTCACCTTCACAGCTGTACATTCTGAGCCAATGACTACATACCCTGGGGAAGGACCAAAGTTGCAAAGGAAGACTGGTGCCTTAACTGCATGCCCACAGATTCATCACTTCCCTGCTATGGGACCAGAATATCTTGTGGGAAGTGTGGGTAATATTTGCAAACGGAATGTGGCAGAGGTAAATAAAATCATATGCATAAAATGTCTTTAATTTTTTTATTTGAATGAAAGATAATTTTCATGGCTGTGATCTAAACAATGTATGGTATTACCTCTACATTACTTAACCCCAAACCTGGAAGGGTTAGCTTTCATTTGATCTTTCTCAAATAACTACTGTTTATTGGAACAGTTCCCTTTCCATTTCTAGATAACACCTCCCATTTGGACATCCCTGCAGCTATTAATTTTTCATATTGTAAATCTTCATGTTTCAAAAAATTAAAAATTCTGCTTTGATCATAAAATATCTCTATGAATATTGATTTAGGAAATAATATTGGCATTATTATTTCCTGTCCTTGAGCATAGAGAATGTGACCCAGCTGGAGCTGGGCTCACAAGGACTCACAAGGACTCACAAGGACACATCAACTGGGCCCTGAGGTATAAAGACAATAGCTAAGGCAATATTGGAAAGTATCTTTTAGGGAACCTTTCACACAAGCCAATCAAGCAGAACACAAAAGACTTTTCACTCTTATCTTTTTCTATTAGCGTTTAGTGAATAGAAATTCGTTGGACCGATGAAGACCCTCCTGACTGAAACCTATACCAGTGATTGTTAAGAAAGACAATTCAAAATGTAGGATCACAGTTTTTAGCCAATCTGAAAAAGTAAAGCTTTCAATGGCTTTGCCCATTTGTAATGTTAATATATACTGATGACCCTGTAATGGTCTTTGGACTCAGGCAGCATGCTTGTCTGTTTTCCCATTCTTGCCTATTCTGTAATATTCTTTCGACTTGGACAGACATGGCTCTAGCAGCATGTCCATTTTCCCACTTTGTCTGTTCTGTGATATTTCCTTGGACTCTGGCAGCATGGTTATCTGTTTCCCACTTTTGCCTTTATGAATATATGCCAAATAAAACTTTCTTTTTGCTTTACTAAACTTTGTGACTTTTTTCCCCCTACAACAATAGCTCTAGTTTTTAATTCCACAGTCTACTTTGGATCAAGAAAAAAAACTTAATTTTCTACCCTTTAATGTCAAAATAGAATTGGTTGGAGTCAAATCCTGCTTTGTCCAGAGAAAAACACTTCCTTAATAATGGACTGTACTTCTAATTTTAGCTCATAGTTGCACAAACTTGGTACAAGTTCTGGATAAATCTTTAAGAGGAAAAACACTTCAAGGTGCTCACTTCAGCAGCATATATAATAAAATTGGAAAAATACAGAAAATATTAGCAAGGTCCTATGCAAATATGACATGCAAATTCATATATTTTTGTATTTTATTAAAAGCAAGAATTACAGCATTTTCTGATTGTGTTCTCAGTATATCTAGATGTAATACAAATGAAAACTGCAACATAAAGAGTGGAGGGCAGAGGAACTTGTATCATTGCAAGATTTCTATATTTTACTTGAAGTCACAAACTATTAACTCTAAATAGGTAAACAAAAGTTAGATATGTATATATAGGGTCACTATGAGTCAGAATCTACTCGATGGCAAAGGGTTCAGTTTTTTGTTTTTTTTTGTTTTTTGTTTTATTGTAATCCCTAGAGCAGTAACTATGCAAAGAGGTATAGTTAAAAAAAAAAAAAAAGAAAGAAAAATTAAAATGCAATGGTAAAAATATTCCAATAATCTAAAAGAAGGCAGAAAAGGAAAAACTGAGGGAAAAAAAGGAGAGCAAACAAACAGAAAACCGATAAGAAAATCGTACACCTAAATCTGACCATATCAATGCTTACACTAAATATAAATGGTCTAAGCACCCAATTAAAAAAATGGAGATTGTTAGATTGTGTTAAAAAACATGACTCAACTATATGTTGTTATAGAATTTCACTTCAAACATAATGATATAGATAAACTGAAAGGATGAGAGAAGCTATATCATGCAAACACTAATCAAAAGAAAGTTAGTGGGTATATTAAAATCAGACAAAATAGACTTCAAAACAAAGAAAATTATCAGGAAAAAGAGGGATATTACACAATCATAAAGAATCAACTCACTAAGAAGACATAACGGTCCTGAATGTGCATGTATCAAGTAACAGAGCTTCAAAATACACAAAGCAAAAACAAATGGAACTGAAAGGAGGAAAAAAAATCCAAAATTATAGCTGGAGACTGCAAACATTTCTCTCTCAGTAATCAGTAGCACAAACAGACATGCAAAAAAATCAGCAAGAATATAGAAGATTGAATCAGAATTGTCTCGACTCCAACTAACAACAACAAACAACACTATTGACCAACAGAAAGTGATTAACATTTCTAGAACACCCTACTCAGCAACAGGAGAATATACACCCTTTTCAAGGGCACTCAAAAATAGACAATATTCTGCGTCACAAAAAAAACTTTATTAAATTTAAAATAATTTAAATCATACAAAGTTTCTTCTCTGATCATAGAGAAATTAAACTAGAGCAATAACAGAAAGGTATCTGGAATATCCCTAATTATTTAGAAATTAAACAACAAACTTTAGATAATCCATAGGTCCATAAAGAAGTCTCAAGAGTAATTAGAAAATATTTTTAACTGAATGGAAACAAAAATGCAATATGTCACAATCTGTGGAATGCAACTAAAGCAGTGCTCAGAGGTAAATTTATAGCAAGAAATGCTTATATTAGAAAATAAAAAATGTCTCAGATCAGTAATTTAGGCTTTCACTACATATAACAAGAAAAAAAGTAGCTAACTGAACCCAAAACTAACAGAAGGAGTTAAATAATAATATAAGAAGAGAAACTAATGAAATTCAAAAAGATAAAACAATGGAGAAAATCAATAAAACCAGAAGCTGGTTTCTTTAAAAGATCAAAAAATTAATAAACTTCTAGCTAGACCCAGCAAGAAAAAAAGAGAAAAGATTCAAGTCACCAATATTGGGTATGAAAGATGGGATATCAATAAAGTCACCACCAGTATTAAAAAGATAGTAAAGAAATACTATGAACAACTCTCTGTGCCTAAATAAGATAACTTAGATGAAATGGACCAGATCTTAAAAGACACAAACTAACAAAATTCACCCAAGAAGAGGTAAATAACCTCAATAGTCCTATATCTATTAAAGATATTAAATTCATAGTTAAAAATCATCAAAAATAATTAAAAAGAAAAGACTATGCCCAGATGTCTTCACTAAACATTTAAGTAAGAAATAACACCAATTCCACACAATCTCTTCCAGAAATTAGAAAAGGAAATGCTTCCCAACTCAATTTTTGAGGCCAACTTGCCTTGATTTAAAAAAAAAAAAAAAAAAAAAAACCAAAGACAGGACAAGTAAAAGAAACTACAGACCAATATCCCTTATAAACCTAGATGCAAAAATCCTCAACAAAATACTAATAAATTGAGTCTAGCAATATATAAAAAGTATGATACACGACAATGTAGTGAAGTTTATCTTGAGAATGCAAAGCTGATTCAACATTCAAAAATCAATCAATGTAATTCACTAGACTAACAGATTAAACAAGAAAAGTTACATTCACTCATGATTAAAAAAAAAAAAACTCTCAGAAAAGTAAAAGTAGAAAGAAACTTCCTCTAACTGATAAAAGGCATCTACAAAACAGCCTGTAGCAAATACTATACTTAATAGGAAAAGATTGATTGCTTTTTCCCTAAGATCAGGAATAAAGCAAGGATGTTCTTATCATTTCCATTCAGTATTGAGCTGTAAGTTCTAGCCAGTAAAATAAGGCAAGAAAAAGAAAGAAAATGCATTCAGATTGGAAAGGAAGATAGAGTTATCCCTATTGTCAGATGACATGATTTTTTAAATAGAAATTTCCAAGGAATGTACAAAAAAGCTCCTAGAACTAACAACGGCATCTAGAAAAGTCTTAGTTTAGGAGTTCAACATATGTAAATCAATTACATCTCTATATAATAGCAATGAATAGTTGGAAACCGAAAATATTTTTTCCAATGGGTTATAATTCATTACTATCATTATTTATTTTGATGCTCAGATTATTCTTAAGTAGGCTAGTGACAGCCCTTTCAAATTGGCATCTCTGTCCTTTTGACATGTTCCCATAATTCTTTGAGCATCTCTTTATTCTCTGGAACAACAAGCTATCCCAGACTCTCTTGTACTTTCCCTGGCCCAGTTCAAGAATCAGCCATTTTCCTAAGAAGCCCTGTTTCCTTTTAGTGGAAAATGGTTTTATTTTTTCTATTTTTTTTTTCTTTCTTCCTTTTTTATTGTGCTTTAGATAAAGATTTACAGAACACATTAGTTTTAGTTTCTCATTAAACAACTAATACACATACTGTTTTTTGACATTGGTTGCTGATCCTGTGATATGTCAACACCCTCCCCTTCTCAGCGTGGGTTCCCCATTTCCATTCGTCCAGCTTTCCTATCCCCTCCTGCCTTCTTGTCCTTGCCCCTGGGCTAGTGTGCCTATTTAGTCTCCTATACGTGGTTGAGCTATGTTTGTTGTTGTTTGTTTTATGGACCTATCTAATCTTTGGCTGAAGGGTGAACTTCAGTACTGAGATAAAAGGGTATCCAGGGGCCATACTCTCGGGGTTTCTCCACTCTCTCTGACCAGTAAGTCTGGTCTTTTTTTGAGTGGTTAGAATTTTGTTCTACATTTTTTTTCCAGCTCTGTTCGGAACCCTGTAATGTGATTTCTGTCAGAGCAGTTGGTTTTGGTAGCCGGGCACCATCTAGTTGTGCTGGACTCAGTCTGATGGAGGCTGTGGTAGTTGTGGACTAATCTTTCCCTTGTGTCTTTGGTTTTCTTCATTCTGCCTTGCTCCAGACAGGGTGGAACCGGTAGAGTATCTTAGATGACCGCTCACAAGCTTTTAAGACCCAGAAGCTACTCAATGAAGTAGGATATAGACCATTTTCTTTATAAACTATGTTATGCCAGTTGAGCTAGATGTTCCACTACCCCATGGTGCCCAACCCTCAGCCCAGTAATTCAGTCCTTCAGGGAGTTTGGATGTGTCTATGAAGCTTCCATGACCTTGCCTTGGTCAAGTTGTGCTGATTTCCCCAGTATTATGTACTGTTTTACCCTTCACCAAAGTTACTGCTTATCTGGTTAGTGTTTTTCCCTCCCCACACCTCCGATCCTTTGTAATCATCAAAGATTGTTTCTTTCTGTGTGTAAACCTGTTCATGAATTTTTATAATAGTGGTTTCATACAGTATTTGTCCTTTTGGGATTGACTTATTTCACTCAGTATAATGCCCTCTAGATCCATCTGTGTTGTGAGATGTTTCACAGATTCATCGTTCTTTAATGTTGCATATTATTCCATTGTGTACATGTACCATAGTTTATCCACTCATCTGTTTATGGGCACTTAGGTTGTTTCCATATTTTTGCTATTGTGAATAATGCTGCAACAAACATGGGTGTGTATATGTCTATTCATGTCATGGCTCTTATTTCTCTAGGATATATATTCCTACGAGTGGGATTGCTAGATCATATGGTATTTCTATTTCTAGCTTTTTAAGGAAGTGTCATATTGTTTTCCAAAATGGTTGTACCATTGTAAATTCCCACCAGTAGTCCATAAGAGTTCCAATCCTCCCCCCGCCCCCGACCAGGCCTCTCCAATATTTGTTATTTTGTTTTTTGATTCATGCCACTAATGTCAGGGTGAGATGGTACCTCATTGTGGTTTTGATTTTTCTCTAATGGCTAGTGATCTTGAGCATTTCCTCATGTGTCTGTTAGCCACCTGAATGTCTTCTTTGGTGAAGTATCTGTTCATATCCTTAGCCCATTTTTAAAGTGGATTATTTGTTTTTTTGTTGTAAAGGTGTTAGATTTTCCTATAGATTTTAGAGATTACACCTTTGTCAGATTTTTATTAGCCAAAAAATTTTTCCCACCCTGTAGGTTCTCTTTTCACTCTTTTGGTGAAGTCTTTTGATGAGCACAAGTGTTTAATTTTTAGAAGATCCCAGTTATCTAGCTTATCTTCTGGTATTTGTGTATTGTTAATTATTGTTTATATCCTATTTATGCTGTGTATTAAGGCCTCTAGCATTGACCCTATTTTTTCTTCTATGATTTTATATTTTTTGGTTTTATATTTAGGTCTTTGATCTATTTTGAATTAGTTTTTGTGTATGGTGTGAGGTGTGGGTCCTGTTTCATTTTTTTAAAGATGAACATCCAGTTTTGCTAGCACCGTATGTTAAAAAGACTGTCTTTTCCCCATTTAATGGACTTTGGGCCTTTTTCAAAGGTCAGATGACCGTAGGTGGATGGATTTACGTCTGGGTT